TGTTGATATTTTCTCTGGCAGCTTGTCAGTTTGAGCTGCACTCGCTGAGGGGGTTCATGAGAAACTGAAAGTCTATGAGAGCAAATACCCTTTATGTATTTGAAGGAACGGAAAAGGTGGAGAGGAGGAGAAGTATGAGGATACAGGGCGGGACAGAATACAAAAGAGCAGAGGGGGGAAAACATTTGGAGATGTTTTAATTTAAAACTGAAAAAAGAAAATCATTGATGCAAGATGTAAGGTCACAAACCGTGTCACTGATACCTTGAACAGATGCCAGGCTTTGTCTGAAAATATGCTCAAGAATGAAGCGGATACTGAATTACTGCCAGATTACTTATACATTGTCACAGTAAACAGGATATTGTATTAGAAGGAGTAGTAAGTAGCTATATTTGACCACACAAACACCCAGTTACAGTACTAGGCTGAAGAAAGATCAAGAAACAAAGAAGGAGGCTGCAAACACCGTGTATGTGCTTCTCTTTGCTTTGGGAGGGTGAGTAACAGTGAAGTTAACTACTCAGTTTAATGCATCACTACTTGAGCATGTGTAAAAATAGATTATAAAATAGCTAGTGATGACCTGGGAAGGAAGATCAGGTACTAACCCCTGGTAGTAGCTGATCTTTATCTATATTATTGAGGAGTTGGGGAAGTGGGTTAAGTGTGAGGATATATAATACAATGGATTTGCACAATAAAACTGATAAGTGGGAGTGATAAGGTTCCCTTTGATGTTGGTGCCGTGACCCGCTGGTTGCAGTTGGTGAGACTGGTCTCCCAGTTTGCCAGATATTTACTTTTCAGGATCCCACTGGGTGACTTTAAGCATCATTTTCAGTGTTTAGGTTAGGAAGCAAAAGTTATGAAGGGGTGTAAACCACAAAACCAAATCATTTCCTAATACTAACCAAGTAGTTTTGGGCCTCAATTCAGGTAAACAGCAAAAGAGGAAGTGCAAAATACAAAGATGGCACGACAGTGGGTGACAGTCTTGTGACTTTTACACTATTCCTTTAAGCAGGACTGTCTGCTCTCTCCATCTGATATGGTTGCCCAACCCCAACTCAATATCATGGCAAAGTGTCTGTTACATGTTTTGCTGTGATACTGGGTTGGATATTGTCACGGCAGGTGTGTCAGGGCACCAGTGCCAAAGGATGCCTGTGGCTTCAAAACTACAGCAATTGATGAACTGAGATGACACCGTGTCAGTATACAGTAAAGTGCATCTGGTGATCAACATTTCAGAAATACCTCTCTGACCTTGACAGTTAAAATAAAAGTGTAGAAAGTTTTTTTATTTTCGGTAAAGATGTTTATAAGAAACACAAAATCTAAAAATGCACGGCGACAATTTTGCAAAGACTGGAGGAAAGAAGTCTGTAAAATCATTGGATTAATGCAGATCTCACAGACTGACTCAGAGTTCAGAAGATACTGTGACTGAGACCAACAATATCCGGCCACTCTGGGCTGCTAAACCTGGAAAACCTGCATCCCTGCCCTGTTCTGTGTATGTTCTAAGGAGACCTTTTATCCTCTAAGCCGGGTGGAACCAGGCACAGTCATGATCACCTGCCCAATTTACACTGTATTTTTCCACACTTGAAAACGCTTAAAACAAACAGCATGAAAAACAAATCTTTCTTTGGTTCTAAATATCATGGAAAACACTCAAACTACCAAGTTTTAGCTTTAAAAAAAACTCTAATCAGGCAACATGGAGCTACACAAGCAGAGAATCTTCCTTACTGTGGCAAAAAAAACAAAAACACAAAAAGATTTTGCATCTTCATACAAATATTGATACAAATAGTTTCTGATTTCCCTTAAAAGACCAGATTCCAAATGTTTTTTGTTGGGATATCAAATATCAGATATGGAAATATGTTAACTCTAATGAATGTTTCAGGTCGGCTGGTAGAAATTAACCAGAGATCAACAACGAGAAAAGGCAAAAAAAGAGACACTTTTCCTGGACTAATTTTGCAAGAATAAGGCATTCAGCTTTCACATTAATGCTTCGTTAATGCTCAGAAACACAAACTATCACTAATATAAGTCCACATGATATAATATAATCTTTAAAGTCATATTAAACCTACCTGACAGGACGAAGAAACCAGTTATTCCCAACTGTCACTCCAAGTCCACCACACCAAACCACCTCAGCGGACGAGTCATATCCATTTGTGTGTGTGTGTGTGTGTGTGTGTGTGTGTGTGTGTGTGTGTGTGTGTGTGTGTGTGTGTGTGTGTGTGTGTGTGTGTGTGTGTGGGTTTGTCGGCTGCCTGCTCGGGACTGATAGCGTTCAGTCATGCAGCAGCAGCGCAGCTTAAGAGGGTTTCACAGCAGTGTGAGAGGCTGGCTGGAAACACAATGCTGAATTAGGTTCTTTTCTCAGGTCTCCTCACTCCTTCTCATATCTGCTCTCTCTTCTTCTGTCACACACTGTTTTCCAGCTCTGCCTCTCCTCCTCTCTTCTCCCCCTCGGTTCCCTCTCCACTCCCTCTTCTGTCTTTCTCTCCTCCTCTTTCAGGGCTTCCCGCACTTAAAATCTGCCCTTTTTCCCTTTAGCTGCATTAACTGAATCTGACAAAGTTTCCTCCTGCTCTTCATCACCCCTTTCTCTCCCATCCTTGATTTTTGTTAAACAAATTTCTTTTCTTGAACCACTTTGGTTCTTTCTCCCTCTCTGAGCTTGTCTCTCGCATTCAGCCTGCCTCCCCTCTTCAGAACATTCAACACTTGTCATTCGGTATCTTTCTTTTCATGCCTCCTCCTTCAATCAACTGTTTCCACTTTTCCCAGCTTCCCGTTTTCTCCTCTCTTCTTTTCCAGTCATTGTTTAGATGCTTCATTTCTTCTTTCTGCCATCTCTGATCTGTTATTTTCCTTGCTTCCTTCCATTCGACTCTGTGATACTCTCTCTCGTAAACTGTCCCTACTTTGATTATTTTATGACCTCAAAATCTCTCGTTTTCCTTCCGCTCTCCTTTGGGTGATATGTGTTCTCCCTTTCTAACTATCCTCTAATCTTAAGCTCTTCTTTTAACTTCACCTTCCCTGTTACTTCCCTTTGCTTTTACTTTCTTTGTCTTTTCTGAGTTGCAAATGAAAATTTTTTAGAGGATCCCCTCCTCCTCCTTCTTCCCCATTCCCTCTTTTTCTTCCCCTTCCCCCAGCTGCGCTTGGCGAGTATCATGTTTGGCTTTAAACTAAGGAACTTGGCTCCAGCGCAGACCACATACATCAGTGCTGACTGATGGCCATGCATTCAGAAAAATAAACATTGAACACTGCAAGCAGAGTCGTCACATCTATACGCTTGGATGTAAATGTAGAGTGGAGAGAGCGAACCTCCAAATTGAGTGAAGGCGAGAAAAGACAACAAACCCCTAACAACTTATAACCTGGGAGGGGTTTGCTTTAAATCACATACTTGTATATAAATATATAAATCTTCTTCTTTTTCACTTTCACATCTTACTTATGCAACAAAGCAAACAAAAAACAACTCAAAACCTTTAAAAGAAGGAAACAGCAACCTGTCTACAAGTTGCACACGGCATACGGTTGGTTATTACACACTTTTACTGGTTTGACCCACTTGAATTTAAATTACTCTAATTAAAAAGAAATCTCTGTCGCACTTAAATATTCTTCAGATTTCAGGCGATCACAGTTTGGCCAAAGTGCAGATAATTCCCCTTTAATGGCACCAGAAAACATTAAAAAATGAACACAAAAAGAAGGAGATGAAATGTAAAGCTGAACCCAGTGCAGGTAAACTGCTTGCCTTGCAGCTCATTTTAGTCTCACATTCTTATGTTGTTTTTGTTGTTGTTATTTGTGTTATTAGCACGCCCACATTAGAGGCTGACAGAGCCATCAGACAGAAATGTGCAGTCTGTAAACACAAATTGAAAAATGTTGGATTGTTTAAAGTTGGAACAACCCAGAGTTTTTTCTTGTTGTTGTGTGAAAACCTCAGAAGACATCTCACTCTGACCAAAGCCCTTGAAGTTGCAATTAAACTAAAAGCTGTTGTGTGAAATTCTCCAAATCAGCCTGGTGGCTGAAGCCCTGATGTAGGAGCACTGACACCACTGAGTGTTTAGCCTTAGTTTGCCTTTTTGGCATTTTTATGGAAGCTGCTTCAGTACACAGTGTTGCTGATGTTGATTACACCAGCGGTCTCCAACCTTTTTTGCGCCACGGACCGGTTTATGCCCGACAATATTTTCACGGACCGGCCGTTAAGGTGTCGCGGATAAATACAACAAAATAAAACTAGTACCGGTACCGAAAAAAGAAGATTTATTCATAACACACGTGAAAAGACCCAGGAAAACCAAGTTAACGATAAAAATGATAACAAAATAACACTGAAAACCAAAAAAACCCCTGAAAACCACACATTTCACACCTGAGCCTCAACTCTCGCGGCCCGGTACCAAACGACTCACGGACCGGTACCAGTCCGAGGCCCGGGGGTTGGGGACCGCTGGATTACACCACTGGTGTTGAAGATAATCTGTCCAGCTGAAGCAATACAATGAGGCAATAATGATGCACATTATGATAAATTAATTATAAGTATTTCTAAATCTATTTTTAACAAACAACAGAGAAATTCTGATAGTCAAATACATTTTGATCTTCAGTATCGGAAAACATAAATGATTCAAGTGTTCAAATTATTAAAAAATACAGATGAATATGTCCGACTCCATATTTTCATATTTGGGCTGATTTGTTTTAAGTTAATAAAACTTTATTAAGAGCTTTGTGGGTTTGGGCTTGGGGGGTCAGTTACCAGTATTTGATATACATATGGCAGATATTAATGCACACACCCAAAAACACACCCACTAAGGTTTAAAATGCAAAAATGTTTCCGTCATATCTCAATAAGATGCATGTACACACACACACACACACACACACACACACACACACACACATATATATATATGTAAAAATGCACATACCGTGAACAGCTACACTCGTGATCACCTGGCTGCTTGCTCAGAGATGTAGTCTGATATTTACTTCAGCTGGCTCATACACATGCACACATACACACACACACACACACACACACACACAGACACACACACACAGACACACACACACACACACACACACACACACTACCGCATGGTAGGCAGAGATAAGGGTGGAGAGCTGCCATCCTGAGTATCTGGAGGCCTCGGCTTCTCCACTCCCTCATCACACACTCTCTGTAACAGCTGACTGTGCATTTGTGTGTGTCTGTGTGTGTGTGTGTGTCTGCATGCTGCTACTTTCATCTTTGTTAGGACCAACTGCAGTTTATTCAAGGACAGTTTTGGATAGTATAGAATGTTGGACCATCATTTAATTAGTGTGCTGTTTTAATGTGAAACTAATGTGTGTGTGTGTGTGTGTGTGTGTGTGTGTGTGTGTGTGTGTGTGTGTGTGTGTGTGTGTGTGTGTGTGTGTGTGTGTGTGTGTGTGTGTGTGTGTGTGTGTGTGTGTGTGTGTGTGTGTGTGTGTGGTTGACAGTCCTTTCTATGTTTGGGATAAAGTTCTTGCTAAATGTCTTAAACTCTCTTTTGTTTAACATAAAATACTTTTAGATTTGAAAAAAGATCTATAACAAGTTAAATTTGATCCATTACTTAGATGGGTTATAAAACATGAGCTTTGTCTACAGCTCTGAAAGTTTCAGCATCTTAAACTTGAATTCTTTCTGTTAGCCAGCAGAGGGCAACTTTTGACGACGTCTGATAAGAAAATCACCCTACTTTTCACTGTCTTTATGTACTCAGTAATACTTTAGTTTTTGATCACCGGTACTGAGCCTTCTTCGATAAGGCATGGTGCATCTTTTGTAAGCAATGTTCAAATTTAGAGTAAACTAGATGATAACACCAGGTATGTTTTGGGGTAGTACTATGTGATTTATTGCATTGTGTCCTTTCATTGTAAATCTGATCCATCCTTCAGTCAAGACATTCATAAAAGCAACACCCATCTTTTATGTACAGACTGTAACCCATCTTTGATGTCCAGACATGTCGCTTGTGAGCAAGAGAGACATCTGATCATGTGACTGACTTCCAAACCTTCCATCCTGATGAGTCAAACATTGCAACACAAGAGTAAGATGGTTTAAAAGCTATAATTGTCTGTGAACCACACTGTGATGGGAACAGAAAGGTAAAATCCTACATCGTCCATCTGTACAACCTAAAAATACATTATTGCATTTTCATATTTATTGTAGAGTTGCAGTTGACTTTGTCTGAATTTGTTGTGTTAATTTTTAGAACAGATGTTTGAGTGAGAAAAAAAACATGGTCATTTAGTGCACTGATTTTTTAAGGACATGAAAAATGATCCAGAGGTTTGTCTAGAATAAGTACTTTTGAGACAAGCACATGCAGAACACTGATAACTGAATCACCGGGTAAATCACCTCAATTATCGAAGCACAAACTGTGCTAAAGTATTTTGACTCTGAAGCGCCAATCATAAAAGTAAAACTGTGTAAATGGTTTTTGCCCAGTTCATATTCTGTGTGCACTCTTGAGCTTTAACTGAAGTTATCAGAGATGTCCTTTAGCATTGTAGCACGATGCCCTCTGCTGTTAATACGATGCTACTAAGTGAAAAACATTGACTCCTTTTACACCCCAAGTTTTACATGTACAGGAAGCGTAGTTTAAACATCTGGTGCACTGCATAACCTTCTGAACTTTTGTCACCACATTTTTCATGTCCAACCTTTTGAAGAGTGAAATACAAAAACACAGAAGATGAACTTACTCAGTGTCTAAACCTATTCTGAACTGAATCACAAATTGCCTGGCAGTGTGTTTAGAGAAGCTCAAACTAAATTCCCAGCTCCATTAAACTAGAGCCAAACCTTAGAAACTTTTCACATGGCTTCATCACGCATTGGTTCGTGTGAAATTCGTTTTTTAAAAATGATCTCAGCTGTCTGCGGGTCAGAGTTCACTATTACTGTGAGAAAGCAGTCGTTGCCTGATCATTTTGCTGCTCTTGTTGCAAATATGTTGCAACGTCCTTCGCAGAAGTGCCAGGGCGAGATGCCCAATACTCAGCAGATCAGCATCAGTTACTATAGCAACAGCCATGGACCAGACCGTGGAGTCAACATGGCTGCCAAAGGGGAACTGCAGCAGCCAAGCTGCGTCTGTGTGTGTGGCTTCACACATGAGTGGCAACCACAACATCTTGGCAGTCGCTTATAATCCTCCTGTCTTTGGGGAAACCCTATTTTCAAGGAACACATTTGTGTCATCTACATGCAGACTGTTTATTTTCTGCTTCTGAAGAATCTATGAGGGTTATTGGTCTTCTTGTTTACATTAATTTACACACCTACCTCACACAAAGCATGCAATGGCTTCCCCAGAAAAAACAACTGTGAAGTGCAAAATCCTCAGTGTCAGAGGATCTTGTTGGTTAGATCAATCGAAGAACATGGCTTGCACTGAAAATAAGTATTTCTACATTTGCACTAATAATCTACCAAACAGAGTTCACATTTTCTGACTTCTGAATAAATAAAAAAAATCACAAAATTCCATACCTTATTGCAATGGGCATCTTCAACGTGCTTGAGAACATCAAACAGATCTTAGATTAAACTTTCTCAGTAGAAAAATTTTATAAAAGTAGTTCATGTTCTAAATCAAGCTGAAGCAAATGTAAGTGCGAGCCCCCATATTTAAATCTGAGTTGTAACTACAAATAAAGTAGGACATGGGAGTGATGCTTGGAGCTCAAGCAGCTATCTAAAAATACATGCTGTGTACCTTGGGTGCTTACAATTTTAGCATGTGAATGTGAGAGCTCATCATTGCAGTGCTAGCATGTTAGCTCCATGCTCTACATAACAGGACAAGAACTGACAGGAAGACCAAGACCTTAAATCTTGCAGGCTCTGTGTTTTGCTTTACCTTCACACGTTTTTACATGGAACCTAAATACATTTCAGAGAATAAAGCCGAATCCTCAAAGCGCTCAATTATTTCTTAATTCTCTGCTGTACTCCCTCAAACGAAGCACAAAATATCTATTTAATGACTCCTTAGCTTTGAGAAAGGAAAATTCTTTATAATCATTTATGTTAATTGACATTGACGTTGAGGAACAATTGTCTACAAAAGCCTGCTGGGATGCAACTCCCCCATCGCTCTCTTGAAATATCACTAATCTGTTGTGACACTTGAAGTCAAAACATGACTTAATCAGCTTACACTTTCGAAAGGAACAGCTTGTTTTTCCACGGCATCCAATGGTCTAGTTTTGGAGTCCACGTAGCTGAAGAAGATAAGACCTTTAGCCTTAGTCACAATCACTGCTTCACCTACAGAACTCAAAGAAAAATTAAATTAACCATAAATATATATGAAAAAATGGATTTAGGGAGACATTAAAAAATTTCCTGTCATCAACAACAAACAGAAAAGAAAACTGTTAATCCAGTGGGAGAGAGAAGCAAAGAGGTGAGGTTGTGGGTTGTGCATGAACAGACAAGAGAGAGAAAAAGGTATCAGGATGGCTCGTGGTCGAGCAGCAAGAAACTTGAGAGAAAAAAAGAGGGGAGGGAGAGAGAACACAGGTTACAAAGATGCTGTTGTTTTCAAGTTTACAGCAATCTCGCTGGCAGCACAGACATGGACTTTACCACAAACTGATGCCATAGATTCAACAAGACCAAAGTCGACCCACCAGGATGGTAACAGTTATAAAAACAAAGAGAATAAACTTAAGTGAAAATAAGAATAAATGCGCCAAAAGGATTCAGCAAGACATAGCACGGAGAGTAAGGGATGGACTATAAGGTTTACGGAGATTAGACAGGTATGATGGTGCATGTACATCAATAGAAACATCTTCAAGTCTCACAGGGACATGAAGTAAATGAGGGAAATGGTGATATAATGGGACTGAAATGACCAAATGGTTGTGTTTTATACAGGAAAACTTCTCTTGTTTGTTTCCTTTAACTATGACCGATATCACAAAATAGATATATTTGCGGCTCGTAGTCATTATTATGCAGACAGAATAGAAAAAACAAATACAGACAAAATGACAAATAATAAAGCAGTATGGCAGTATCATTTAACACCAAACAATACATGAGCTGGTAACTCAATAAAACTTCAATCAAACACAAATTATAATGATATCATCACAGTCAAAGTGATTTTTGCATCTATTCTTCTGATTAAAACAAACATATGCAAACACCTGGTCTGCATGTGTGTAATATTCATTTACTGAATTGTGCAGAGACAATCAAAATCAAGGCTCCTGCAACAGTAACTGTAGCTGCTCTGGTTCTGCCAGCTATAGTTCACTGTACTGTACTGATGCAATGCACTGATTAAAACTGGAAAGTGAGCGGAAAATTCCACGTGGCAAATTCATGGTAGATGACATAGTCACTATCAATGAGATCGCATCAGCATATGTAAGTATATGGGTGGGGTCAAACCAGAAAGAATGGTGAGAAGTACAAACATCAAGCTAATATGTTGCTGAGGTTTTTCCTTTGACTGTGTTTATGTCGTTTTATTTTGATTTTAAACATAAACTGCCAATTTGTTCAGTTTAATTGTTGACTTATTTTACAGCTAAAATGAATGCAGATTGTACTAACTGTTGATAACAAACGCTATCCCACCCTCCACACCCAACCCCTGCCCACCCATCTCCCCAATCTGACTCATGGTCTGAGTAACCCTCATCACTCAGGCCACTCACATATGGACTCACATACTCAGAACAAATCCTTTGCACTGCTTTCAAGCACTATGCTCTCCATTGTTTGCCTTTCTCTTTCTTTGTATATATTCCTCTAGACTCTATATATCTCTTGTATATGATATTTATTCCTGTTGTCTTTAGAATTCATATATATCGTTTTACTTTTGCACAATTGGTATGGAGCACCCATAATTTCGCTGTGCATACATTGACAATAAAGGGCTATTCTATTCTATTCTATTCTATAATAGA